CCCCAAAACCCCAAAACCCCAAAACCCCAAAACCCCAAAAATAAAGGTTTAAAATAGTTAAGCAAGTAAAGTTAATTTTCTGGACGTCCGTCCCTGTGTCGAAGGCTATCAGATCCTTCAGAGCCCCTCCTGTAGCTCTCGAAGGACTCAAAGACTTGTATTCGGCTAATATTATTATCAGGAATGGCCCATTGGTTGTCACCTATAGATTCTTCGTCAAATTCTGATTTTCGTTCCTCAATTCTTCCAGAGAGATCTGATTTAGCCTCTTCATTTCCAAGTGTGAGGTTCATCATACGGGCTCGAGTATGCCTGATAGATGGGTTTCTCCTTGCTGGGGTGATATCTTTCTACATAAAGTTAGTAATTCCTAGTTCAATGTTTCTTTTCAAGGAGAATTTTGGAGATTTTAAAGAAAACCTTAAAATTAATAGGCCATTACCTTTGTCTGTAAATCTCCACTTTCTGGACCATCTGATCCTTGACCCAGCCGATCTCTTAAAGAGCTTCTGGCTGATTCCTGAATTCCTGGATTGCTAGTCAAAGGAGAAGGGCTAGTGATCTGGTTGTTCATAGCAGTTCCCATCTCTGAATGAGGGTTCAATCGTTCAGAAGTAGCTCGATCTTCATCTTCATTTCTTCTTAATAAGTTAATACCAGAAGTATTCATGCGCCTTGGCGCATGAATACTTCTGCTAACATTATCAAGATTGATTTCTTGGATGTGATGGCTGACTTCATCTAGACTTCCATGAAGATCAGAATTTCGCCTTTGTACCTGAGTGATCATCTGGTTCATTCCAAGCTGGTGGGCAGTGTCCATATTAGTCCCATGTGCATTATTAATCTTCATTGATGTCTCTTGTTGCAGATTTGAAATAGAGGAGGTATCATCATTTTCCTTCTGAGAAATCATAAGTTCTTTATCCTTTATCTTTTGTAAGTCATCAAACTTTGCCGGGTTGTTTTGAAGTCCTAGATTAACCGACTGCTCTTCTAGGAATTCCAGTAATGTTCTTGGCAAGTACGGAGAGTCTTCATTATAAGTTGATTCTTTACCAGGATTAGTTTTGCTATTTCTCTTAGGCTCTTCATTTTGAGGAGTCAGTCTAGCCATGAACCGACCAAATTGAACACTCAGGGCAAAATTCTTATTTCTTTGGGATTGGAATAGGCTCTCTGAGATATAGAAGAGTTCCGAACTTAGCAGCTTCATCTCTGACGTAATAACTTCCGTTGGAAAAAGTAATAGATGAATGTGTTCGTGATACACTAATGTCAGTAATCCTGATAGCTGATTCATTCGATCTGCCAACACAGTATTCAATATCAGCGTTGAAAGGATTATTCCTCTTATTACTAACCAGCACATGAATGGTCTTGTGAGGTGTATTGGTATAAGATTCTAGGATCATACCACACCCATGCTCAGGCCTCAGATAATTAAGGACGTATATTTCTTTCCCATTGATGATATAACTGTCCTGGAACTTGACTCCTCATAGCTCGCATACAAGATTTTTCCAGTTGTAGGAATAAGTATATTCAGATAACTTCGAATATATTTTACTATCCAGCCATTTATTTTAAACAATCAAGATGAATGTATTGTAGAGTCCCTGTTCATTTTCAAGGGGAGATCAGTGGATTCTCCTCGATGTCACTATCCTCCTCTTCACCCAGGCAGATTCTTCACTGGGCTTCTTTACGGATCTTGTCAAAGTCCTCCTGTCCCTTAGCTTGCTGTATTTTAGCAATTTTCTCCTGAATGGTATCTTCCTCAATGCAGCCATAAGCAATGCTATTGGATTCAATACTTTTAGAGCGGGAGAGTTGGTCAGCCTGAGGGCTGACCCTGCTGGTAAATTTATTGACTAACATTTCATTCATGCTTACATCGAATTGAGGGTCATATTTAACCATTCTTCCCATTGAACTTTTGTTTCTCTTACAGTTTATAATCCTATTTGACTCTGAATCTGACTCTTCCAAACTTTATGATATCTCCGTCGGTGAGTTTGTACCCGAGAGATTTATTGAACTTCCCAGGGAAGATGGCTGGAGTGGCTCCTCGAAGAGAAATCCAGACTTGGTCAATAGGATTTTGAACTTTTTCTTCCTCATTAAAATCCTGAGGATGAAACATCCAATATTTTCCGTTCTTAAAAAGCTGTGATGAAGAGAGTCTTGAGACCCTTCATAACGGCATCCCTAGGAGGGACATTGTGAACCTGGGTTTCCTCCTGATTGACTATGGCACAGGTATTGGTAATTCTTAATTGTTGCATACCACTGCTGTTACTATCGTAATCATAAAGACCATGGGTCTCCTTCGACCATCAGCTGACGCTGACGGCTAAGGAGTAGTAAGGCCTATCTGTTATTTTACCACTTGTGGTGTTAAGACATCAGCCCATGTTGTTTTAGTCTCCTATAATCAAAAATTACTTATAAAAAGGGGTTTTGGGGTTTTGGGGTTTTGGGGTTTTGGGGTTTTGGGG